GGCACAAAGACCTTGCCATGTCTGATTAGGCCTAGATGGCTGGGTTTCCAAAAAAGAGAGAGAAATGAACGCGTCGAGGGGGGCGCCGAAAGTCGAACAGCCTCCCCCAAGTCTTTCTCGAGAGCCATGAAAACGAAATGGGACAGATTCCTTTTGGGCTCGCTCTTTCTTTAAACGACTCCCGGGTGAGTCTGCTCATACCCAAGGGCTGACCACGGGGAAGGTCCTCTGTGTGGCTCCGTTTGCTCTCCGCCGGGCTGCTGGGACACACCAGCTGGGCAGCCGTCTGCCTCCAGTCTTGCAAAAGCCGGAATGAAAGCCATATCGAATCCCTCTCCCTCCACCCCGGGGTTGCCAGCCTCCAGTTGGGGACTGGAGTTCGCCTGGAATCGCCACTGACCTCCGGCTGATAAAGAGCTGTTCCCCAGGGGGAGAAAGATGGCTGCTTTGGAGGCCGTACTCGATGGCATTATACCTGGCGAGGTCCCTCCCCTTCCGAAACCCCGCTGTGCCCAAAGCTCCACCCCCAAATCTCCAGGTGTCAAATCTCCAGATAGTTCCTAACCTATCTGCTTCTACTTCACAGCGAAAACCTCACATCGACTCTCTGCTCCTTCAGCCCAAATGGCATGTTGCCGGGGGGGGGGGCAGTGTTCCCTCTAAGCTGCATTAGTGTGAGCTAGCTCACGATTTTTTAGCCTCTGGCACACACATTGTTGTCTCGGCTCAGGGAGGAGGGCTCCAGAGCAAACTAAGTGATGCGGTAGCCCAATCGCTCACTCACAACTTTAATGCCAGCAGCTCACAAAGTAGATTTTTTGCTCACAAGGCTCCACAGCTTAGAGGGAACATTGGTTGAGGGACTGGTGTATGGGGACCCCTTGCCCCCCCCCCCCCCATGTGCGACTGAGCTGCAAAAAGGAGCTGTCTGTGTTAATGTATGCACGGGCTGGGGATTAATGGAGAGGCACCGGGGAAGAAAGGTTTGGACTCTGTCTCCCCACACTGTTTCCCCAGTTGCAAATGGCTCCCCCCCACACTGCTTTTATCCTCTGTTCTTGCATTGGGCCTGTTCCCCCCTGCACACTGGGTCTCAAAGCATTCTGGGAAGTGGTCGATCTTCCTCCTGGGAGAAGAGCTAACCCTGCCCTGGTGTCCTGGCACTGTGTCTCCAATCCATACTGGCTCCCTTGAGGCTATTTGGTGTCGTGGTTAAGCGCGCGGACTCTAATCTGGGAGAACCGGGTTTGATTCCCCACTCCTCCACTTGCACCTGGCTGGATGGCCTTGGGCAAGCCGTAGTTCTGATAAGAGCTGTCCTTGAAAAAGAGCAGTTTCTGTCAGAGCTCTCTCAGCCCCACCTGCCTCACGGGGTGTCTGTTGTGGGGAGGGGAAGGGAGAGGAGTTTGTAAGCCGCTCTGAGACACCTTTGGGTAGTGAAGGGGGTATAAATCCAATCTCCTCTTCCTCCTCCTCCTCCTCCTCTTCTAAATGAAGGCAGAGGGAAGGAGCAGGTGAGTGCCTTGAGGTTGCCCTGTAGCTGAGGTCAGAAGTTACTCTTCCAAGTGTAATTGAGGGGAAAGCAGTGTATCCTGGTTTGGTTCCAGGATATAAATCCAGAGTACTGATTGCTGTGGCAGCAG